ATAATGGGCTCCTTGAGGCTGAAGAACAGAGGAAGACAGAAGGTTGAGTGACATAGCAATAGCAATTAGATTTATATACCGCTTTACAGCCATTTACAGAGCCAGCACATTGCCCCCAACAATCTTCCCACCTCAGAGGGAGGGAAGGCCAAACTGTAGGCAGCTGGCTGTCAGCAGAAGTAGTTTACAGTACTGCAGTCTAACCACTACGCCATCAAGGCTCAGTTAGACTTTAGATAGACTTTAGTTGTAATAATAGTAAAGGAGTATTTTCCACCTTAATTCTCACCCTATGCAAGGATAGCTTCAGGGGATATAAAGATATTGGGGAGGAGGTAGAGAACTCAGAGGAATGCAGTAACTAGAGGCAATAAAAAGGCAGCAAAGAGCCATGGTGGTTATGCCAGCTTCCTGCAATTTAGCAGATCAAATCTCACCAGGCTCAAGGTTGACAGTCTTCCATCCTTCCAAGGTGAGTAAAATGAGGATCCTCATTGTTGGGGGCAATAAGCTGACTCTGTAAACCATTTTGAGAGGGCTGTAAAGCACTATGAAGTGGTATATAAGTCTAACTGCTATTGCTAAAGATTGTGTGTCAGGCAATCCTAGATCTAGTGACTATCTTAGAAGGAGACTCAGCTCTCACAATGGCTGGCTTTATTGCAAACTGAACTGAAAGAGTTCTTCCCATCTCCATTCCTTTCTTTCCCTGTATCATCTCTGTGGTATAGCTGCACGTGAAGGAGGTGGAATTCTGGGAGTTGTAGTCTACACATCTTAAAGTTGTCAAGCTTGAGAAACACTGCCTTAGATCATCTCAATTACACCAGAAATGCCTGTCTTTATCCCTTTTTTTTAACCCAACACAATGAAGAAACTCATCAGACCACAATAATAAAAAAGCCAGGCCATAAATAATTTCATGTAACAGTAATAATGGGGAAAATATAGAAATTTTTAACAGCAGCCAGGTAGGCAGTGTTATGTACCAACAGTATATCAAAACCTTTCTTCAACAGATCTCTGTTTAATATTTACCTGAAATAATGAAGTCAGAATTTCAAGGGACAGAAACTGCCATAATATTGGTACCATCATATAAAAAGAACATGTGCAGAGCTTCATCAGTGAGAAAAGAAGGACAATTAATAGATGTTTGGAAAACTCTGTCTTAAGAGCATTGAAATAGAAGACAACATCCTGAAGATTTTTTTAAAAAACCAAACAAAGATACTGTATTTTTATGGGAGGTTCTCCAATGCTTCTTGTCCTCTAGTCTAAATGATGCATTTGAATTTTTTACTCAATAAATTTCATTTCATTGTTTTAGGACTGTCAGTTTTGAATAACCCAATAAATATTTGCAAATATTGTCTCAGTAACCAGTATCCTAATCTAAAGTAATCAAGGAATGTTGTGACTCCGGGTTTGGAATCTGCTCCTTTGGCAGATGGGAGTTCGAGCGAAGAAGATATGGCAGCGAAATATGAGCCGGCATTGATAAGTGACTTGGATGTTAGCCAGGATGAGGAAATGGATTTAACAAGGAGAGATGAACCTGAGTTAGTGGAGATGTCAGGACCTTCGACCTTCTCTAATTCTTCCTCTGAGCAACAGCCGGGAATAACTAACAAGGAAAACATGCGAGAGTTTTCCAGCGAAGAAGAGAACTTTGAGAGATCATGGCTCGATGTAAGAAATAGACGTAGGTTAAGACGTCAAACTCAGTTAGGAAGGAGGCGTCGAGCCAGTGACTAATTAGGGAAATTAACACGCTCCATAAGAGGATAAAAGGAAACGGCTGGGCTGGTGAAATTCGCCAGAAGCAAAGTGATTAATGGGAGTGAAAACACAACGAGAACTCTTGAGACTTTGAGAATTTATTGCCACGTCAGGATTGCTGGACAGAGTGTGGATTTACTATTGAGGATTGGAATACCTCAATAGTTCTCTTGTGGGGGCTTGTTTTTTGGTTTGTGATATTTTTGGAACTGCTGAAGTTCATTTTGTTCACCTGTAATTAAAGGGGAGACATAACAAAGGAAGATTGAGGTTAGTTGTTTTATTTTGATTTAAAACTTTTGCAACTTTCTTATGAATGAGTCCTTGCAGCAGTAACAACTCTCAGATTCAAAGTCATCTATTCTTAAAATCCAGACATTCCACAGTACCAGATGTTCATTTTATTAGAACTCAATTGAATGGTCATACAGCAGTAAATTAATTTTCTTCTTAAACTTGTTGCCTTTTCACAACCTGTAGTAAAAATGGCTGGAATAAATTGGTTGGTTGGGAAACTGCAGAGTTGATAAAATCCAAACTGGCTTGCTTTACTTAATATTTTCTCTTAATTTTCTCCTGCATTGTATGGTTTAAGGGATCAGCCACACCTCGAGAGAAAACTATAATTTGACAAAACCTATCAGTCATACAGATCCTGGTAAATTGACCCCAGAACTGAAACAAAAAACTCAAAAGCAAATAGTTCCAATGATAGCTGGTCTGAGCAGAACAAGATTGGGGTATTCTAATCTGTATCAGAATTTAACAGAAAGGATTAGCAAATTCAGAGAAAATTGAAAATTTTGCTCGAAGAAATCTCATCCGGTTTCAGAAAAACACAGAAAAACACACTTCAGACCAGTCAAAAGTGCATTATAACAAAGAATGTGAACATTTCCTAAATAAAATTTTCCAAAGTAAATAAAGAATTTTTAAAAAGCAAGAAAGTAAAGTGACCTTCATACATACTTTCCTGCTTTCATCCAGTGATTCACCTATTTCTTTAATTTTTACTTTGCCCTATTTTTGGCAACTCAATCTGTTGAGGATTCCTGGTACTTCCTCCTCCTCCCATTTTGCCTGGAACAATCTTGTGAGGTGAGTTGAGTTGAGTGAAAGAGATGGACCCAAAGTCATTCAAGTGGTTTTTCATGCCTAAAATGGGACTAGAATTCACAGTCTTCTGGTTTCCAGTCTGTACCTTAACCACTGCACCAAACTAGCTTTCAGCTGAGGGAAAGAAATACAGAAATATTTTCTGCTTTCTCAATCTCTGCCTAATTTACCTTCTTTCACACATTTGTTACTTGAGGTTTTCCACTGTTAAGAATTATTATTATTTTTACTTTAACCTGTCAGCTATTCTTTGAACACATCATAAGCTGCAAACAGGCAGACTGTCTTCAGGTTCATTTAACCCAACCATTTCTGCAACTGACTTTAATGACCTTAATGATGGAGTAATGGTCATGGAACATTATGTCATAAACAGATTGATCAGTGGCCAGATAAATATTATCCAAATGTAGATTGGATGTCAAGGAGAGAAGCAATCTAGAACTAAGGAGAAATTTTATGACAGAGCAGTTAATCAGCGGAATGGCTTGCCGCCAAAAGTTCTGGGGAGTAGAAGTTTTGAAGAAAAGATTAGATAGCCAGTTTATCTGAAAAGGTATAGGGTTTCTTCCTTGAACAGAGGTTTATACTAGAAGACCTAATTCTCCATAACCGTTGGCATCTTTAAAAGTCTAGTGAAGAGTCCAGTTTAGTGAAGAGAAGGACCAGGAGACACATGACAGCATATTTGAGGGGCTGCCACAGAGAAGAAGGGGGTCAAGCTATTTTCCAAAGCACCTGAAGGAATAATGTATGGAAACTGAACAAGGAGAGATTCAAACGCAGAAATAAGGAGAAATTTTCTGACAGTAACAACAATCAACCAATGCAATAGCTTGCCTTCAGGAGTTGTGGGAGCTTCATCACTGGAGGCTTTCAAGAAAAGACTAAATAATGAGAGATTAAAAAAGAGATCAAAAATGATGTAGTGCAGTGGTTCCCAAAGTGGGTGGAACCGCCCCCTTGGGGGAGGTGGGATGCCTTAGGGGGGTGCTGAGAGGCAAGGGGTCTGGCAGGGGGTGCTAAGAGGCATCAGGGGGGCACTGGAGGTGAGCGGCAGGGCACAATTTATGGGTGAGAAAATATCCCGCCGCCGCCGGATTCGAGGCAAGGCCCCGCAGGATCACCCCATTGACTTGCACGCTCTGGTACAAGGAGCTCAATAGGGTGATCCTGAGGGGCCTCACCTTGAACTCAGTTTTGGAAAAGGAGAGCAAAACCAGAGTGGCTTTGCTCTCCTTTTCAAACATCCCACCACCGCCGTGTTCGGGGCGAGGCCCTGCAGGTCCACCCCATTGAGCCCCTTGCACCAGAGGCACCTGCCCAAGCAAGTCCGAACGGAGCAATGCACGAAGTCAATGGGGGGAGCCTGAGAGAGGGAAAGAGAGAGAGAGAGAAAGAGAGAAGGAAGAAGAGAAAGAGAAAGGGGAAAGAAATAAAAAGGGAGAAAGAAAGAGGGGGGGATGGAAGGAAGGGACAGAAAGAGAAAGAAATAAAGAAGGAGGGACGGAGGAGAAAGATAATGAGATATCTATTCTATTCCAATCACCTACTCCAGCAGGGTTAGAAGGGTGTGTGTGTGTGTGTGTGTGTGTGTGTGTGTGTGTGTTCTCCTTGTAATTTACCAATATATTTTGGTTTTGCCTTCTTCAGAATTGGCACTGTAATACATTGGGGAAAAGTAATTTTTTAGGGTGGAGGTCTGGTCCAATGGATCCTGTTTAAAGCCTCAACAAAATGTGAGAGCTTCCTGATAGTCTTGGCCATGTTTCGTCTACAAAACCTTTAATTAATAGAAGCCAAAGATGTTTCAATGCGCTGGCCTAGATGCACCAAGGTGGCGGTGGACTGAAAAAGTTTGGGAACCACTGATGTAGTGTCTCCTACTTGGCCCAGGGGTGGGACTAGATGGCCTACAAGATCCCTTCCAAAACTGTTAATGTGATAAAAACACATCGGAATATAGAAGTGCGATCCATTGCACATAAACATATATGTGCAGATAAGCTTTACTTGTTTTTAATGCAAGAATCATGCTGGAAATCTCATCTTCCTTCTTGCCAACTCTTCAGATGTGTGTACAAGATAGCAGTAGGCTCTGTTGTTTGAAGGACATCCACGCTGCCCTTACTCAGAGGCATTATGCTGCTTGAGAAGCTTCAGGTGGTCATGTCTCTTTCAATAAGGGTTTTACCATTGGGGATAAGGCAACAGCATTGCTCGCATCCAGCTGTAAAATATGTTCATGCAGAAACACGCTCGCTTCCAGAATGTCCTTGCACACATGAAACTTTTTTTTCTCTTTTGAAATTAACGTCTCTCCATGCTCACTTCCTCTTTTTTGGAGTGGGGGTTTCAATTGTAGTTCTTTCCTGCTCCACCTCTCCCTTGCAAGCGGGCCATTATATAACGGGATCATAGAAGCAGAAGGACAGAGGAAGACGGAAGGTTGAGAACCCTTCTCTTCTTCAAGGTCACATTCAGGTGAGTCTAAGACCAGGGAAGGCTAAGATGAAGGGATGATGTTCCTAGGGGAGATTGTGATTCTCACTGAACTGGATAAGGCTTCTCAATACTAAGTTGAGCTGAATTTTAAGCTATCTTTTCATAGGGCTTGTATTACACTGAAGGGCAGACACCTACCTTCATCATGAGTTAGATCTCAGCTCCCTCCAAGCTCATGAGTGAGATAGACTTATTAAGTTGTTCTTAAGTAATAACATTTCAGGAATATTTTCTTCTTAATTCTGACCCTATCCAAGGATGGCTTGGGGGATAAAAAACATATTTTGGGAGAGAAGTCAGAGGAATGAGGGGACTAGAGACAACAAAGAGGTAGTAAAGGTTGGGAGGAGGTTCCCAAGAAATAAAGCTGATATTTGTCTGTTTTGTGTAGTAGTCCAAACAAGAGACACACCCAGGAGTTCCAGCTCTATTCATATTGTATCTTAAGAATACCTTGCAAGTCTGAAAGTATATTTACCACTCCTATCACCTTTACAATCCAAGGAGATTTCTACAATGTTTGCCTTGGCCCCATTTCTTCTGCTGGGTCAGATGCCTCTTATGTGACCATTGGGTAGTTGTTGGCTGTTCCTTCTGTCTCCCAAGGTCGTTGCCATACACCTTAAAAATATTACTTTGGTAGAACATCCAATTCAAGGATGTTTGTAGAGCCCTTCTATTGAGCACCAAAGGAAGTCAGCTCAGAAGCTAAAGTAGTTCCTGTCTCAGTATGAATGTCTGGAAAAATTCCAATGGTTGGCTTCCGCTGGAAGGGGTGCAGCCTCCTTAGAATTTCCCTGGAGGAGCTTCTGATGAAAATTCCCTAATTTTGACAACATGGAGAGTCAAATATTTTCCGTAACAGCCAGAGGAGATAGGTCCCATTCAGTGCTAGATATTTGAACCAATGCTTTCAAATGGAAATATTCATGCATCTTCTCCCTTCTTTCTGTGGCAGAGCTGATCATGATGTTCAAAGGAGTTGGCCTTGGACTCTTCGTAGTCCTGGCTGCGGTGCTGATGCTGGGCACCTTTGCTGCGGATTACGAGACCTTCCTGAGGCAGCACTACGATAACCCCAAAAGCAATGTGGGAAATAACTACTGTAATAAAATGATGCAAAGGCGCGGAATGACCCAACCCAAATGTAAGGAGGTCAACACCTTCATCCATGACACAAAGAACAATATCATCGCTGTCTGTGGGGATGGTGGAGAACCCATCAATAACAGATTGCGGCGTAGCAAGAAACAGTTCCGGGTCACCACCTGCAAGATGAAGGGATCGTCCACCAAACCTCCTTGTGATTACAGGGAAAACGAATCACCCAGGTATATTGTCATTGCTTGTGAGAACGGATTGCCTGTGCACTATGAGGAAGGCCAGATTTAACAGTGTTTGAAGATGAAAAGAATTGATCAGATGGAGTCTCCCTCAAGATGGCTTCTCTTCTACGGGAAAGATCTCGGTTTCTGCTGATCCTCTGGCTCATGTCCTGAACTCTTTTTCATGATCTGTGCTCAATTTCAACCATTGTAACCTACGTAGATGCTTCCCAGTGCTTTCCTTTTTTTCCTCTGTAGCCTACAACCAGCACATAACCTAAAGTCTGAATATCCTAAATTTTATGTAAACGAGCAATAATACCTCTCCCAAATGCTTTAAATGAATGATTAAAAATAAACAAAAAAGTTGCATGACATCTCTGTTGTTGGTGTAGATTTATTTCATTTTAAATAAGTTTGCTTTTTTCAAAGAAAGGATGATCCGATTCATCCTGCATTAACCTGACCAACATTTCTATTCTTGTTAAATTGTTCTGATTTGATTTTTTCTGAACACATAAGGGCCAGAGGTAGTATTTAGCAGGTTCTGACCAGTTCTGGAGAACCAGTAGCAGAAATGTTGAGTAGTTCAGAGAATACCACTTCTCACTGCCCCCCCCCCCATCTATTCTCTGCCTCCCGAATCTCAGCTGATTGGCTGGGTCTTCTTTTGTTGCCCTGCACAGGAGAATGGAGCTAAGAGATAACAAATAACAGATAATCAGAGTTGGAAGGGACCTTGTAGGTCATCTAGTTCAACCCACCCTCCCAAGTGGGAAGACCCTACACCATTTTTGACAAATGGCAGTCCAATCTATTCTTGAAAATCTCAAGTGATGGCGCTCCCACAACTTCCGAGGGCAAAATCCATTAGTTGATTTTTCTCACTGTCAGAATGTTTCTCCTTATTTCCAGGTTAAATCTCTCCTTGTTCAGTTTCCATCCATTATTCCTTGTCTACAGGTGCTTTAGAAAATAGCTTGACCCCCTCCTCTCTGTGGCAGCCCCTCAAATATTAGAAGACTGCTATCATGTCTCCTCTGGTCCACTAGACTAGCCATCCCAATTCCTGTAACCGTTCTTCATATGCTTTAGTGTCCAATCCCCTAAGGGATGACCAAATTCATCCTGCATTAACCTGACCAACATCTTGTTAGATTGTTCTTACTACATTCTCTCTGGACACATCAGGACCCTGTTTCTGATAGTCATCAGGTATTATGTCTATGGAGATTATCAGTCATCCAGAGCTGAAGAAGCTCCTTGGGTGAAAAATGAAATTTCTTCAAAGAAAAAACACAAGAATCAGTTGCTTCTTGAAATAGCACCTTTGGGACCCCCAAGTATTAGTATTTTTCTTCTAAACGCAAATAACTCTTCAGAAACAGTATACAGCCTGATGTAGTCATAGATCCTTCAGTTGAAGGGATGCAAAGCCAGCCATCAGAAGGAGAAAGTGTACTACAATTAACATGCTTTAGTTGTATTCATACAAGCTCTGGTGAACCAGTGTCAGGCAATCCTAAATATATTTGTATCTTAGAAGGACATTCAGCTTTCACAAGGACTGATAATCATAATTTAGATCTCTGGAGGAGATCTAATCATCTGGACCCCTTTCTTTCTTTCTTTCTTTCTTTCTTTCTTTCTTTCTTTCTTTCTTTCTTTCTTTCTTTCTTTCTTTCTATCACCTGTATGGTGTCATTGCAGGTGAAGGGTTTCGGATTATGGGAGTTGAAATCTAAACATCTTAAAGTCATCAGGGCTGATAAATATTGGCTTAGACCATCTCAATTAGACCAGTGATGTTTGTCTTTAATCCATTTTTTAACCCAACACAATGAAGAGATTCATTGTCACAATAATAAAATAGTCACAGCATAAACCATTTCATGTATCATGGGATGCTGCACTGATTGTAGGTGTGAAAAATGATCATAAATCACTTTTTTCAGTGATGTAACTTTGAACAGTCACTAAATGAACTGTTTTTAGTCAAGGACTACCTGTACATAACTGTTCAAAAAGCAACCAAATAAACTGAGATGCTGGTATGTACCAACAGTATATCAAAAGCCTTCTTTAGTAGGTCTCTGTTTAGTATTTTCCTGAAATAATGAAATAGAGACCAATCTGATTTCAAGGAAAAGAAACTTCCATAACGTTGGTGGTATTACATAAAAAGAGCATTTCTGGAGTTTCACCAATCACCATCACCACTTATCAAACAGAAAGTAGGGATAATTAATAGAGTTTTGACGAACTTGATGTAAGTGGGTTGAAATAGAAGATGAGGTTCTGGAGACATCTTTTTAATAGCCAACCAAAGATATTTGATTTTTGTGTCAGGTTCGCCAGTTCTTACTGCATTCAAAAGGATTCATTTTCCTCTTTACTTAATGAATTTCATTTTATTGTGTTAGGACCGTCAGTCAGGAATAATAGCATAAGAAATATTTACAAATATTATCTCGGTAACCAGCATCCTTAACTAAAATGAAATAGTCAAAGCAGATTAGTTGTTGTTGTTTGTTTGTTTGTTTTTTTAAAAAAATAGAGAATTCCAGATGTCTATTTTATTGCAGCTTTTAAGTCAATTCCAGATGTCTATTTTATTGCAGCTTAAGTCAATGGCCTTCTAGGAGTAAACGAATTTTTCTCTTGAACTTGCTGCCCTTTTCACAAACTGTAGTAACAGTGGCTAGAATAAATTGGTGGTTGGGGAACTGTGTAGCTGATAAAATCTAAGCTGATTTGCTTTACTTGATCATTTCTCCTAATTTTCTCCAGAATTTTGGTTCTGCAACCCAACAAGACAGACACAGACTTCAGAGAGTAATTAGGACTGCAAAAAAAACCAAAACCAATTACTACCAACCTGCCTTCCATTGAGGACCTGTATACTGCATGAGTCAAAAAGTGGGCTGTGAAAATATTTACAGATCCCTCACATCCGGACATAAACTGTTTCAACTCCTTCCCACAAAACAATGCTATAGAGAACAACTAGACACAAGGACAGTTTTTCCCAAATGCCATCACTCTGCTAAACAAATAATTATCTCAATACTGTCAAACTATTTACTAAGTCTGTATTATTATTACTATTAATCCTCTCATCATTTCTATCCCCTCTCACTTGTGACTGTATGACTGTAACCTGGTTGCTTGTCTCCTAATGATTTTATTGACTGTTTCCTAGTATGATTCGATTGCTTATTGTATCCTATGACTACGGTATTATTAAATGATGTACCTTATGATTCTTGACTCTTGACGAATGTATCTTTTCTTTTATGTACACTGAGAGCATATGTACCAAGACAAATTCCTTGTGTGTCCAATCACACTTGTCCAATAAAGAATTCTATTCTATTCATTGCATTTTTTTAGGGAATCAGCCACATCTGGCTTATGAAAACACTAGTTTGACAATGTACTATAAAAACTATAGCTTGGACCATGTGGATCCTACATAATGATAGAACAGAACATGTTCAAGCTATTCTAATTTATATCTGAATTTCAAAAGAGGAATTAGCAAATTCAGAGATGCCACAAAGTACATCTATGCTGGAAGGGATCCCATCTGATATCAGGAAAACAAGCATGCCCATACACATTACACAAACCCTTTATAAACCTATCAAAACTAAAGTCTTAGTCAGGACAATGAACATTTCCAGAATAAATTAATGTTTCCAATATGAACAAAGAATTTTTAAGAAAATGTATATTTCTGTATAAGGAATTACAGTTCTAGTTTGTAAGTGTTCTTAAAGAAGGGGAATTTCAAGAGGAATTTCATATGAAAGGGAATTTTGTTAAAAGAAAAGGGGCATGGAAATAGTTCTACCAGGAAGAAAACCAGAAAAACTTATTCATAACACTCTAATATCAATGTGTGCAGTGCAGGAAATATACTATACAATGTTGTGCGATGTATTTTCCTTTGGGTCAACATCTGTAATTTGATTTTCATTCCAATGGCCTTGTATCTAAAGACAGTTTAATCTCACTACATCATTAGAGCTTGTGAAGGAAGAAGGCCTGCCATTATGATCATTATATAACAGTATGCATATCATTATGTATACAGTATCATTAATAAGATGCTGGTTGAAGAATTCTGAAATTGAAGTCTTAACATGTCTTAATGTTGCCAACTTCAAAAAATACTGTTCTAGCTTGTGATAGACTACAGAAATGTCATCTATCGTTAAAGTGCTCCATATACTACACTTAGACTTGGAATAACTTTATTGTCAGTTTGAACATATAATAATTGGCATGCATTAAAATGAAATTTCATTGCCTACAGCTCTCAAAGGGTTTCCACTTCCAATATAAACTACATAAACATGACTAAATAAATACAAAAGTATGCATATATCCACATATATTATATGATACAGAGAAACAACACAGTCTAGTTTGGATGTATTAGTCTACATGGTGAGAAAAACAAATCTTGTGAGTTTACCAGATGGATGGCATAGGAAACAAACCATTACAGAATCAGGTAGTCCTGCTAGAAAAACTTCGAAACTTCCTCCCAGAGGGGAGCAGCAAAAACAGACCATAAAGTGGGGGTGTGGGGTCTCTAACAATGCTTTGAATTCTATGCACATAGTGCTTAAAAGCAGTATGCTGTATAATGGGAAGCCGGCTTCCTATAATCTTCTCGGCTGCCCTTACCACTCTCTGTAGGGACTTTCTATTTGAGGCACTGCTGCCACTGTTGAGGTAATTCTCCATTAGGAGAATGAGTGCACACAGGGAGATGTAGTGAGAGTGATGTTGAATAACACACGACCAGCACACAGATACACTGAATAGTAAAATGTAGGTTTTACTTCTGGTAAATGGTTAAGCAAAGTCCAACAAACAGTCCAAGTCATTCACAGTTAAAGCAGTCAGTGTTCAGTCCAGGGATAATTCAAATAACAAAGTCCAGTATCATAAACAGTTCAGTAACAGACTTACAGAATTCCAAGAAGAACGACGATCAGCAACAGTCAATAGGGAAAAATGCAAACCAACCAACATGGAACATCAGAACATCTAGCAACAACAGAACAGAACAACCCAGGTTTCTGGCTCCATCTTATGGCCGTTTGAGGAACCACACCCAATTACAATTACATCATTCCCTTAAAAAGACAGGATTAAATGTCTATTCTGGTTTATATATTTCCAACCCAACTGTTAGGTGACTATCAATTCCTAACATTCTCCCCTTTGGGTAGGACAATATATAACACCTTACGGTTTAAGTCCATATCTTTCACAGCAAGCCTTATGCTTTACAGAGCCTTGGGCTTTTGTAAAATGATCTGCAATGTTATTTTCTGACATGCATTACTCCAGTTT